GGATTGGGCCTAAGCTCACAGTCAGACATCCCTCTGGCAGCCCGGGAGCCCTCGGGGGATGTCCACTTGCCAGCAGGGAGCAGGCCTAAACTTCAGTCAGACATCCTTAGTGCTGCTGAGGATGTGGGAGAGGCTCCCACCACCACCGCTGTGCTGGCAGCCATCAGCCTGGCTTGTGGTTGAGCAGAGCTCCCCCTGTGGGAGTGCACTGACCACCAGGGGACAGCTCCTGCATTGAGCATCTGCCCACTGGTGGTCAGTGTGTGTCATAGTGACCAGTCATTCCCAGTCGTTCTCCTGTTAGGGTCAATTTGCATATTACTCTTTTATTATATGCCTGGTGCATGGGTAGGAGCTGGCTGGTTTGCCCTGAAGGGTGTCCTGGATCAGGGTGGGGGTCCCGCTTGGGTGCCTGGCCAGCCTGGGTGAGGGGCTGATGGCTGTTTGCAGCTGGTTACACCCTCTTCAGGGTGAGGGTCTCCACTGGGGTGCCTGGCCAGCCTGGGTGAGTGGCTGATGGCTGTTTGCAGGCTGGTCACACCCCCTTCAGGGTGGGGGTCCCCACTGGGGTGCCTGGCTAGCCCGGGTGAGGGGCTGATGGCTGTTTGCAGGCTGGTCAAGCCCCTCCCCAGTGGGGACCCTCATCCCATGGAGGCTTGGCCAGTCTGGGTGAGGGGCTGATGGCTGTTTTCAGGCTGGCCACAGCCCCTTTAGGGTGGGGGGTCCCCAATGGGGTGCCTGTGTGAGGGGCTGAGGGCCGTTTTCAGGCTGGCCAAGCCCCTCCAGCGATGGAAGCTCCCAGCCTCTCCTTTTTTTCTTTTTTTTTTATTCTGGGATTTATTTACCTTCTATAATTGAAACTTTGTAGCTTTGAGAGGAGCTCAGAGCTGGCCAGGGTGGGTGGGAGGAAAGCTTGGCTTCCTCCATCACCAGGGGCAACCCACGCCTCCTGCTCGCTCCAGTTCTGTAGCCACGGCTGGCTGAAAACAGGTATCTGGGGTTTATTTATCTTCTATAATTGAAACTTTGTTGCTTTGAGTGGAGCTCAGAGCCTCCACGGCAGGCAGGAAGCTTGGCTTCCTCCGTCATTGGGGCAACCAAGCCTCCAGCTTGCTCCAGCTCCGTTGCTGCCAGCCACCATCTTGGTTGGGTTAATTTGCATATAATTGCTCTGATTGCCTGGTGGGCATGGCTTAAGGTGTAGCAAAGGTATGGTCAATTTGCATGTTTGTCTTTTATTAGTGTAGATAGCCATTCTAACAGGAGTGAGGTGGTATTACACTGTAGTTTTGATTTGCATTTTCCTAATAGTGAAGTTGAACCTATTTTCATATATCTGTTGGACATTTGTATGTCTTCTTTGGAGAAGTGTCTATTCAGATCGTCTGCTCAGTTTTTAAATGGATTGTTTGGGGTTTTTTGGTATTGAGTTGTATGAGTTCTTAATATATTTTGGCTATTAACACCTTAGCTGTTGTTTGCAAATATCTTCTCCCATTCAGTCGGTTGCGTTTTTATTCTGTTTGGAGTTTCTTTTGCTGTGAAGAAGTTTTTTAGTTTGATATAGTCCCATTTGTTTATTTTTTCCGTTACTTCTTTTGCCTTTGCGGTCAAATTCATAAAATGTCCTCTATGCTTAAGGTCCATAAGTTTAGTATTTATGTTTCTTTCTATGTAATTTATTTCAGATATTGCATTTAGGTATTTTTTTATTTATTTTGTGTTAATATTTATACATGGTTTCACTGATATGTGGAATTTAAAAAACAAAATAAATGAATAAAACATTAACAAGTTCATAGATACAGAGAACAAAATTATTGTTGCCAGGTAAGAAGGGGGTGTGAGGCTGAGTGAAAAAAGTGCAGGGATTAGGAAGTACAAATTGACAGTTATAAAGTAGTTACAGACTCCAACAGTCATCAATATTGTAATAACTATGTATGGTGTTAGGAGGGTACTAGACTTATCAGGGGAATCATGTTGTAAGTTATATAGTCTAACCACTATGCTATATAACTGAAATCGATCTAATATTGAATGTCAAATTTAATTGAAAAGTGAAAGATAAATGAAACTGTAAAACCACTTCCCTTCTCTGTTTCATTTTTTTCTTAAATCTTGTTATAACTAGATCAACTAAAAAAGTATAAATAAGGATAGAGACAGATCCTAACATACTATACATGCTACTAATTTTAAATACATACTGTTTTTCTACTTTCTTTAGAATATAAACTTACGAGAGCTGTATCTCCAGTGCTTAAAGCAGTACTTGGCAAATAATAAGTACTCAATACATATTTATTGAATAAATCAATCAACTAATCAATAAATGACATCTGGACTTTAGACCAATGGTCAGGAAATTATAGCCCACAGGCTTCCTGCCTGCTTGTAAATAGAACTTTATTAAAATATTCACTTTTGCCCTAACCGGTTTGGCTCAGTGGATAGAGCGATGGCCTGCGGACTCAAGGGTCCCAGGTTCGATTCCGGTCAAGGGCATGTACCTCGGTTGTGGGCACGTCCCCAGTGGGGGGTGTGCAGGAGGCAGCTGATTGATGTTTCTCTCCCATCAATGTTTCTAACTCTCTATCCCTCTCCCTTCTTCTCTGTTAGAAAATCAATAAAATACGTTTTTTAAAAATAAATAAAATATTAACTTGTTTACATGTTGTCTATGGCTTTCCCAATACAAAAGTGTATGTGAGTAGTTGTGACAGAGTTCTATAACCTGCAAAGTCTAAAATATTTACTATATGGTTCCTTAAGAAAAGGTTTGTCAATTCCTGGTTTAAATTCAGAGTTAATCTTTCAGGAAGCTCTACTTAAAACTGAGCTTTTTTGTACCTCACTAAAAGTTTTCCATTCTGTATTTCTTATTTTCATGAAATACTGGGCACATGGATGCCCCCCCCACCAAAAAAAAAAAAAAAAAAAAACCCAAACAAACAAAAAAACAACAACTATACTTCCCTGACCCTGACTCTCTTCTAGCTAGATGTGACCATGAGATTAAATTCTGAAAATAGTAAGTTAATGAAAGTAATATGTATGACTTTCAGGACAAGACCTTAAAGGAAAGAACTGCATCCTCTACTTCCCTTTATTTCATCCTTCTCAGTTGATATAATATAGAAGATATTTGGCCATGCACATGAAGTAATACCTTAGCAATGGCAGAGAAATAAGATGGAAGAAACCTGCGTTTGTACCTGTCAAGTCACCATACTGGCCTTGGACCACCTTGCTGGACTATTCCACAACAAAAAAATAAATGTCTCTTGTGTTGGAGCCAGAGTGTTTATATGTAGAGTCTTAGAAGGCTAACTTCTATCTAATGTAACACATCTGGTGGACATTATATTTTAACTGTGGATACCACCTAGATTATATCATCAGTCTCATCCACTTGCAGAAAAGTTTTTATTGAATTATGCCCTGTGAGGATGGCATGGGCTATTACAAAGTGTAGAATCAAATGCAGGAACATCTGAAGCAAGTGCACATGACTTGTCAATAAATAATTTTTGTCTCGCCTCATTCCTGGGCCCATTTTCTGTCTCTATCCTTATTTATACTTTTTTACTTGACCTAATTATAATGTATACTACCTCATATTTTACATATTGTTAAAATATAGCACCTTAAATTATTTCAGAACTAGAGGCCCGGTGCATGAAAATTCATGCACTGGAGGGGGCGTCCCTCAGCCCGGCCTGTCCCCTCTCACAGTCCGGGAGCCCTCAGGGGCAGGAGGCGACCCAGCAATCAGGGGAAGGCGATGCCCCATCACACCTCTGCTGCTGCCACTGCCGGCAGGGCAAGCCTCGGCCAGCCCTGGTTACCTGAGCCTCGGGCGGCCCTGGGCGGCTGGGCAGCCACCATCCAAGGCTTGCCTGCACCTCGTGCCCGCCCTAGGTGGCTAGGTAGCCGCCATCTGAGGCTTGCCTGCACCTTGGGCAGGCCCTGGGCAGCTGGCCAGCTGCCATCTGAGGCTTGCCTGCACCTTGGGCTGGCCCTGGGTGGCTGGGGGGCTGAGGGGACTGGGTGCCACCATCTTGTGGCTGTGGGTGCCACCATATTTGAGAGTGTGGCAGTCAATTAGCATATTTCCTCCTTATTGGCTGTGGGTGCTACCATGTTTGAGGGTGGGCAGTCAATTAGCATATTTCATCTTTATTGGCTGTGGGTGCCACCATCTCTGAGGGTGGGGCAGTCAATTAGCATATTTCATCCTTATTGGCTGTGGGTGCTGCCATCTTTGAGGGCGGGGCAGTCGATTAGCATATTCCCTCCTTATTGGCTGTGGGCGCCACCATCTTTGCGACAGCATGACGGTCAATTAGCATATCCCCTCTTTATTAGATAGAATGATATAGGTTTACCTAAGTATAGGTCAGTGATGGCTAACCTATGACAAGCGTGTCAGAGGTGATACGCGAACTCATTTTTTTGGTTGATTTTTCTTTGTTAAATGGCATTTAAATATATAAAATAAATATCAAAAATATATGTCTTTGTTTTACTATGGTTGCAAATATCAAAAAATTTCTATATGTGACACGGCACCAGAGTTAAGTTAGGGTTTTTCAAAATGCTGACACGCCGAGCTCAAAAGGTTCGCCATCACTGGTATAGGTATTGCTTTCTTTATAGTTTCATTATACATATAGCATTTTATAGCTATCATTTTCCTTTGTTTACATGTCTATCACCATATTACACTGCTAACTCCTTGTAGCTATAGACAGTGATATTTTTCTCCTTCTATACCATTAGCATGGTTCCTGATAATGAAATAGTTACTAATTAAGCAATATTTGCTGAATAAATGAATTTCACAGTGGCAAACATGTTGTTAAATGTAATTGTACCATAATGGAATTTCCTTCCATTATCAACTTGACGCAGGAAAGGAGACACAACTCTAAAAGGTGGCTAGGAAAAAGTGTTACATGTTTGGAGGAGTGGTGGTGAGGATAGGAAATACATACCTTTACAAAGTGCTCAATTAGGATTTCTACCACAATGTTCTGGAATTTGATATTCATCATGGCAGCCACAGTATCCTCCTGAGCTCTCATCAGCGTGGGACCAAAGATCACCCCCATGTTGGAGGGGGTCATAAAATTCTCTTTGCTGTGCTCACACACACTGCCAAAAGAGAAAGAAAATTATTAAGAAGATTTTCACCAAGACTGTTAGTTGATATAGAGGGTAAGCAAAATTAAAATGTAGAAGAAAAGGAGAGGTGTAAATTAGAGAGAAAACATTACGAAGGAAATAACTAGCAAAGAATACAAGACAATATATAATTAGGGGCCAAAGTGAGACATAACTAACTTAGCACTGATAAAGCTAAGAAGAGTGGGTTGGGAGGCTATAGTAAGAAAATATTTGGAAAGAAAAGAGAGAAGCAATATGGGCAAGAGGTACCCTATATAATAATCCTATATAATAAAAGCCTAATATGCAAATTGTCCCCTTGACCGGGAGTTCAACTGGGAGTTCGACCACTCGCTATGATGTGTGCTGACCACCAAGGGGCAGCGCAGAACATGGAGGGTGTCCACGATGTACTGTGACCTCTCGCCAGCTACCTGGGGGTGGGGGTGACAGGGACAGAGGTGCAGTGTGAATGCAGGGTGTACACCAAGCTCGCTCTCATTCGCCCTGCTACCCTCTCCCAGAATGCCAGGGCTCAAGCGCCGGGGAAGCCCCCATGCTCAGGTGCCTGGTGCCTGTGAGGAGCCTGCCTGCCCCGCACTTGCACGGCATCTTCTGGATGAGCCAGGCTGCAGCCACTGGGACCACAGGGGCTGGTTGGGCTCCCTGTGGGATCGCACAGGAACCGGTCTGTGAGATTGGCTGGGAGAGAGCACGCTGCCCGCCCAGCTTCCATGCCATGCCTCTGGGCGTCCTGGAGGACCATGCTGTGCCCCGGCCCGCAGCATCTGGCTGTGCTCACTGCATCTCTGCATGGGGACTTGAGCTCTGTGACTCAGGCTGAGGGGGGCTCACGGGGGCCCAGGGGCCCAAGTGCTGCCCAGGGCCCAGAGGTCAGCTGGGACCTGCCCTTCCATGCCAGATTCTCGCGCTTTGATTGCTGGCCAGGCCTAGGGACCACACCCATTCATGAATTTCATGCACCAGGCCTCTAGTACTATATAAAAAAAACAGTACATAAAGTGTCTGTCTACCAGTCTCTCCAGTTAGAAATCCAACCCTCCCCTACCCTGAGTTGGAGATGCAAAAAACTCAACGAACTGAAAGGGAACCTTAAGATTAGCCCTTTATCACTGTTCTCATTTTGCAGATGAAAAAACAGAGATCCAAAGAAGGAAAATTATTTGCCTGAAGTTACAAAGAGCCTAATTACCATAGGGCCTTTAATCCCCAATTTTCTGATCCCTAGTCACCTCCTTGATTAAATTCCCTTTACTGGTGTCCTGTTTTTCATTTGGACAGGAAAAACTCTTGTGAAAGTTGCAATTAAGGCCTTCTGTAACTTGCTAATTATTTCTAATCCCCAATGCGCAGCTTGGGCTCTAAAGCTGACTTGGGTGACTCATTAGCTGTACACAATGACTATTAGTGACTTAAACTCTCTGGGCTTCAGTTTTTCCACTAGCAATAAAATAGTATCCACCTCCGAGGGTTGTTGAATAGAGCTAAATTGCTTTAGCATAGCATCCTAGAAATAAGCCATTAGAAGTACCTGTTTTTATTATTACTTCTCCAGAAGTCTCCATCTAGACCAGTGGTTCTCAACCTTGGCTTCACATTAGAATCACCTGGGAATCTTTTTAAAATCCTAATTTCTGGGCCTCATCCTCCGGAAATTGTTTCTTTGTTATGGGGTGGGGCCACAATATTAGTAACAAAGAAACAATTTCCGGAGGATGAGGCCCAGAAATCAGGATTTTTAAAAGATTCCCAGGTGATTCTAATGTGCAGCCAAGGTTGAGAACCACTGATCTAGACACTGCTGACCTCAGACTTTGATATACTATACTGCTTGGGTCATATTTTCTGGCTAAATCTTGTTATTTCAGACCTCCATGTCTTTGCTCATTCCCTTTGCTTAGGATATTGTCCTTCTCCAAGATCTAAAGAATGTACATTTCTCCATTGAGATTCACTATACCTGACATCTCCTTCAGGGTCATCCTAGCCTACTTTCCTCATCTTGATTGACAGACACCATTGGCAAGCAAAGTATATTGCAAATATATGTTTATTACCTACCTCTCCTACTAGGTGGTAAAGAACTTTCAAGTATGTGTACCTTGTGCACAGCAGGTACCAATGAATTATTTTTAATGGAACTGAGTGCCTCTATTGCTCTTTTCAATAATAGTGGAGGCAGCCAAGTAAAAGATGTACTGCCTTTTGGTCAAAATAGCTGCGGGGATAAGGAAATGAGGAGACAAGGCAGCTCATGACAAACCCTAATTTCCAAAATCCATCCAAGATGGCAGAGTAGGGAGAAGTTGCACTAACCTTCTCCCATGACTACATCAACATTACAACTAAATTACAGAACAATCAACTTGGATAACCATCTGAAGACTACTTGAGCAGAAGTCATATAATTAAGAATATACAGAAGAAACTGGTAGGAGGGGTAGAGAAGAAAAATGGACTGGCCCCTCATCCATGTGTGGTGGTTAAGAATCTGGAGGGGAAGGAAGAATGGCTGCTGGCAGGATGGAGGTGAGTGATAGGAAGTGAGTGAGTGAGGGGATGAATGGAGAGTGTGTGGATGTGTGTGTTGTGTATGTGAGTGAGTGAGGGACAGTTAAATCTGGCAGGAGCAGCAGAGGCTGGCAGACCAGGCTCTCTGGGACACGGAGAGACTACCACCACTGCTGCACACCCCGGACTGCCGGACTCAGGCACGGAGCCCACGCCATCTTAAAGGGGAGAGCGGCCTCTTCTAGGAACTCAGCAGCACCACCACCCAGACAGGCCTTGGACACTGCCCGGAACCTGGCAGCCACTCCAGCCAAAATCCTGCAGCCACACCCGCAGACTCACAAACCCTGGGACCTCCACCTCCAAAGGAGCACCGCGCCGACCTCAGCAGTAAGTGCAGCCTCCCCCTCCCCAGCGGCAGACCTCCTACATCGCGCATTCACAAGTCTCCAGCTCGCAGGTCTCCAAGGCACACCACTCCATAGACTTCTCTTAGGAGTCACTGGGAGCCTCTGCTGGGTGTGATTTTGTACGGACACAGACGCACTGCCCCCCAGTAGAAATTCTGAATTCCCTCTGCCTGAATAACTGCTTCCACACACCCAGCTGCGCAACTTAAGCACCAGGGCCCCTCAGCGCCAGGGCCCCTCAGAGTGCTTCAGAGCTCAGCACCAGCGAACTGCACCGCCACAGTTGCTCACTCCCCCTGAGCCCATCTATCCACAGGGCACTTTGGGGAAGCCCCAGTGAGACTCTGCTGGGTCCGATCTTGGACTAATAGGGACTCACTCCCCTGGGCAGTAGAAATTCTGAATTCACCCATCCTGGATACCTGCCCAAAGCATGCCAGGGCCCTTCAGAGTGCTTCAGTGTGCCTGCACTAAAAAACTCACTGCAGGTGCTCCTGTGTGCCTCCACTGGGAACCGGAGCCTATCCACCACAGGTGCATCAGCAAAAACTGAGTTTCCCCACCCCACAGCTGCAGGACTGTGGACACTACAGGTGCATGCTTTTCCAGCGTGCAGATCTCCCAAGACCACCGCTCCACAGGCAGCTTGGGGCCCTGCTGCGAGCACTGCTGGTCATGCACATAAACAAACAGGGGTGCACTGCTGGGCTGTAGAAACGCTGAATTCCCTCTTCTGGGATACCTGCCCACAGACACTGCAATCCACTAGCTTCAGTGCCAGGGCCCTTCACAGTGTGTCAGTACACCCTGCTGGCAAACACACCACAGGTGCCTCTGTGAGCAGCTGCTGGGATAGCATGTATCCAACCACGGAGGGAGCAGCAAAAGCTGAGTCTACCCACCCCACAATTACAGAACTTTGCACAACAGTCACACTTTGCCAGAACCCAGGCTTCCTGAGCCCCACCACCTCAACAGACGGTTCCTGGGTGCCACTGTGAGTCCCTGCGGGGCATGCGTGATTTCAACCAAGGGCAGAAGACAGCAAAAATTGGAACACCCCCTCCATGGCTGCTGACGTCTAGACACCAAAGTTGTGCCTTTCCAGCTCACTGTGACCTACATCAAGAGAACCCAAATAGCCCAAGTAGGGAGCTACACTAGACGACCAAACCCAGGAGACCTGAGAGGTCACACCAGTAGCACCATACCCTAAAGAAACAGGGTAGCAAAGCAATCGGAGCTACAATTAAAACATTACAGCAAAACATGGGAAGACAAAAAAGCAATCCACAAAGGAAAGAAAAAGAGGATCACCAGAAAGGGAGTTAAATGAAATTGAGGCTACTAACTTATCAGAGAAAGAATTCAGAGTAATGGTTATAAGGATGCTCAAACGGCTGGATGACAAATACACACAACTCAATGAGAATTATAAGGACCTGAATGAGAATGTCACCAACATGAAAAGGAACCAAGAAGAAATGAAGAACGACATAGCTGCAATAAAGAACACAATGGAAGGCTTAAACAGCAGACTAGAAGAGGCTGAGGACCGCATCAGTGAATTAGAAGACAAGGTAGGAAAAACCACACAAACACAGGAGCAACTGGAAAAAATAACTTAAAAAGCAAGAGGAGAGCCTAAGGGAGCTTTGGGACAACGCAAAACGAAACAACATTCGTTTAATAGGGGTACCAGAAGGAGAGGAGGAGAAGCTAGGAATAGAAAACCTGTTTGAAGAAATAATGACAGAAAACTTCCCTGATACTGGCAAGAAAAAAACTACACAAGTCCAAGAAGCACATAGAGTGCCAAACAAGATGAACCCCGAAAGACCAATACCAAGACACATCATAATTAAATTGGCAAACACCAACGACAAAGTAAGAATCTTAAAGGCTGCCAGAGAGAGACAGAAAGTTACCTACAAGGGATCTCCTATTAGAATATCAGCTGACTTCTCAACAGAAACACACCAGGCAAGAAGCGAATGGAATGAAATATACAAAGTGATGCAAAGCAAAGGAATGAATCCAAGAATA